TACAACCAGGTCTTGAGAAAAATCAGGTTACACTGGAGCAAGTCAAATGACGTGGGAGTGATGTCACTAGGAAGATGAAATTGACAGAATCACTAATTGAACTGAATGTACCAAAAGAATATTTAGACATGTGAAGACGAGTCTGGGGTTAAATTAATTATAAATACATTAATGATAACATAGAAAACTTTGTAGGACAATAAAACAACTCGAGAAAAAACGAGTAATGAACAAAACTAACCATTGTACACTCGCACGATTTGCCCAGGAAAAGAAATTACATGGTCGTAAAGATATAAAAACTGAAGACTGATCTAAGTATGAAATAGCTTGATTAGGATGATGGAGGTATGGGAAGGGAGTGTGTGTATATTGGAGAAGAGGAAATCTTTACCCTTCATACTAAATAATTAGAGGAGAAAATCAAGGTGTAAGAGAATAAGTCGTTTATTTAGAAAACATGGAGGTAAATACCATAAGAAAGAGCTAAAAGAGATGACATTGTTTTTCTCGGGGTGGGGAGAAATGAAAAACAGAAGGGGCAGGGTGGACAGAATGCTGTTTAAACATAAAAAATCTCCAAAATCCAAAAATACAAAGTGGATAGGGAACTAGACAGAGGACTAAGTCCTCAGTCATAATCACAAATATTTGGAGGTTGAATAGAATAGAGAATGGGTAGAGTTGACCTAGGTGTCCCAAAGTAATATGCTGACCAAGGCAATGGACAGAAAAGGGTATTAAAAGAACACAGAAGCAGGTCAGGTTTGAAGATAGCAACATCACAGGATCTTAATACCTCATTTCAGGTTTCCCTATATCCTAAATCTGAACCGTCTTATTCATTTTGTACACAACCTCCAAATTATATTTTCCCAAACATCAATTCCCAACTGGGACAGTACCCACACCCATGCAGTGAGAAATGAACATGAGCATGTCTGACCATTACAATGGTTTTGGAGGGAGTATTACTGGCTATTACTGGGTTGGCCAAAAAGTTCCTTCGGTTTTAAAGTAAATATAGAAGATACATTTTTCATTTTCACCAAGAACTTTACTGAACAACATATTCACCATTTTGTTGCACTACCTTCTGCCATTTTTCAGGCAACTTCATAATTCCATCTTCCCAAAACTTTTTATCTTTTTGAGCGAAGAACTGTTCCAGGTGCCTTTTACAGTCTTCCAGGTAATTGAATTTTTTTCCATTAAGAGAATCTTGTAAAGACCGAAATAAATGGAAATCCAAAGGTGCAATGTCTGGTGAATATGGCAGATGAATCAGAACTTCCCAGCCAAGATGTAACAGTTTTTGCCTGGTCATCAAAAAAAAAATATGGTCTTGCATTATCCTGATGGAAGATTATGTGTTTTCTGTTGACTAATTCTGGATGCTTTTTGTCGAGTGCTGCTTTCAGTTGGTCTAATTGGGAGGAGTACTTGTTGGAAGTAATCATTTGGTTTGAAGAAGAAGAAGCTCATAATAGAGGCCTCCCTTCCAATCCCACCATATACACAACATTACCTTCTTTGGGTGAAGACCAGCCTTTGGTGTGGTTGGTGGTGGTTCATTTCGCTTGCTCCACGATCTCTTCCTTTCCACATTATTGTACAGTATCCACTTTTCATTCGCCCGTCACAATTCGTTTTAAAACTGGAACGTTTTCATTACATTTAAGTAGAGAATCGCATTTGGAAATATAGTCAAGAAGGTTTTTTTCCCTTAACTTATATGGAACACAAACATCAAAGCAATTAACATAATCAAGCTGGTGCAAATGGTTTTCAATGTTTGATTTGGATGTTTTGAGTATTTCGGCTATCTCCCTTGTGATATAACATTAATTTTCTCAATTAATGTCTCAATTTGATTGCTATCAATTTCAACTGGTCTACCTCGTAGTGGAGCATCGTCCAGAGAGAAATTTTCAGCATGAAACTTCACAAACCACTTTTGACATGTTAGATCAGTCACAGCCCCTTCTCCATATGCTGCACAAATCCCTTTCTGCATTTCAGTTGCAGTTTTGCCTTCCTTGAAATAATACAGTATAATAGGCCAAAAATGTTGCTTTCTTCCATCTTCAATATTAAAATGGCTACACAAAAATTCACCAATTTTGATGTTTTTTTTAATGCATGCTGATACGACAGCTGTCACAATACAATCTAACAAAACTGTTTTGAATGAAGTTAAAGACAACTAAGTGCTACTAGGGCCATCTTATGGAAGAAACTGAATGAACCTTTGGCCAACCCAATACATGGTCTTAAAGTCAGAAGTGTTTCCATCAAGAAGAAAACAGGCCAGTGAGTAATTAACCTTTGCCCTCAAATCATATTTGCTCATGTTTGGCTGTCAGTGTTGTCCCTGTAGACTCTGAAAGTTCATGGATACTGAATCTGTCAGTTTCTGTACTTCACCCTTCCAATCCTTCTGTTGCTGGCACCACACTCCTGCTTATTTTCCCTTGGTTCCCACATCTCTGGCTTCCTTCATTTGATTTCCCAGGAAATCTAATGAATTTGCTGTTGAGAATTTTCTTTGCAAAAATAATTGCGAAAAATTAGATCATTGCTGGTATCTCAAGGAAGAGCACAAAGAATTCAAGAAATAAGGACAGAATACCAGAGCCAGTGAGTAGAAGACAGGAATTCACAAGATTAAAGATTATTTAAACATGATTTAAGACTGTATTAAACATGATTACTGGCTGTGGCCCATCTTGAGTTTAGCCACAGAAGACAATGGAAGAGGAAATCATGCTAAGGCAGCAGAACCCGGGCTCACCAGGCCACGGCCACAGCAGGAAGCCCCGGCACAGCCTGCCCAGCCCGGGTTCCAATGCTTCTCTGTTGTGCCACTCCTGCTGCTCTCCCAGAACGAGGTTCCTGTTGTACCCACCCTGTACTTCTCTCTGCCACTCTACCTGTCTGGCTGGTTGTACGTGGATAACTTATCTTTAATTATAGATCACCAGACCATGAAGAACCACCACGTCTGATTAGAAACAAGGATCCTAGACTTGCATTAATATACTAGAAGAATGACAAGAGGGGTGATAGAATATTTTTGAAGATGAATGGATGGAAAGAAGGGTGTGATTGGATGATGCCTAACCAGAGAGGTAGATGGAGGTGGACAGTGCTGCCTACCCAGCCGTTCTGCTGCCCTTTTCCTGGCTGGCAGAAACCTGATCTTATTTCCTACTTTCATTTGTAAGGCCATGTGCTGCAGTTAGGAAAATGGGACCCACTTCCATACCCCTGCCGAGAGTGAAGCATGATATAGCTGAGCCGACAGTGATGGCCCCGTTTTCCTCACCAGAGTCTTCTTTACACACGGATATGTGATAAAAAATCTAGCCTGCTCAACATGGTAAGTCTGCTGGGGCTTCCTGAAATAGATTTTAATGCCTGATTAAAAGGGCCATGTGGGAAGAAACAGTCTTTCTTATTCCACTGCCCACTGGTATATCTGCAGGTGTTGGCTGGAACTGTAAGAGGCATCTGGTGACCATGAGGGGAGGAAATCTGAGAAATACTGACATAGTTAGAATGGCGAGGCAGAGATAGACGTTTGGGGATTTAGTAAGTCAAGCAGTCCCACATCAGGACATTTTGTGATGTGTGGTAATAAATCACTTCTGCCTAAATAGTTTGATTTAGGACTAATCAAAAATTGCAGCTGAAACAATCCTAATACAAAGATTAACTGTTGATTGATCCTGCCACACTTATGACAGAATATGTAGTTGCTTAGGGAAATATATCTGACAGTAACATCAGGATGAACTCACAGTATAAAAAGAGTAAAAGGTATAAATTTGGCTAATAAGTAGAATAAGCAAGAAATGAAATAATGGAATTCCCTGGCGGTTCAGTAGTTAGGACTCCATGCTTTTACTGCCAAGGGCCCAGGTTCAATCTCTGGTCAGGAACTAAGATTCCATAAGCCGTGTGGTGTAGCCAAAAAAAAAGAAAAGAAAAAGATAATATTGGGAATTATCTCATTCCCAATGAGAAGGAGGTGGGAATTGAGAAGATGGAGGCCTTAAAAGACTTACTTTTGAAGGACCAAGATACTAACAGATTATAGCAAGACTAGTGAAGAGAACTGCATAAAAAGGGTATTTAGGCTCACGCCCCAGTGCCAGGAAGAAGAACCAGGAGCATAGCAGAACTAACAAACAGGAAGGTGAGAAGAAGTTATCATACAGCTATGGGGCAGCAGAAGGGACATTCCAATTCCAGTTTCTGAAAAATGAGACAAGGGAGTGGCCCATGCAGGGAAGATGCCCTGTGGAACAATCAAACCCAGTACCAAAGGGCAGATGAAAGAGGGATGGAGCTGTCAGTCACCAATACAGAAAGAAAAAGCATAAATCTTCAGAGTGGAAGTCTTTTAAAACTTACAATATACGAGGAAAGTGGGGAATATAAGAAAGACCCCTTTGGACTCAGAGGAAAGAGCATGCGAGGGCAGTAAAGCATGAGGAGGATAAGCACTGTGTCGTGCAGTGTGAGAGTGGGTTCCACGGGGTTCACTTGAGTAAGGCGTGGGGGAAAGGCTTCAGGCAAGAGAACTGATATTATCAAATGATGCAGGAATACACTCAGAAAGAACAGTGATGACAAAGCCATCAGGAAGGAGAAGCAGAAAGGGTAGAATCTCCTAACACGTAGGTTTCAAGGGGAAGGAAATTGGAACTGTGTTGAATATGAATGTAAGTAATTTTAGAAAAAAAGAAAAAAAGTAGAAGGGGTGTGAAAGTCACATGAAAAGAGGTAAAGAGGAAAAGCTTGCTTAAATGTGTAATGAAATGAATCTATCACCACGCAAAAGTAAGAAGGAAGCTGAGAATGCCACAGAGGAGATTAACTAAGAGACAATTGTTACAAGTGACCCAAAAGTACAAACACAAAGGGAACATCACATCAGAACTCACACCAATTCTGAGTAAGGAGGAAAAGATCTAAATGTCCTGACGACTCACCCAGATGGCCCTGAGTTGGGATTTGCATCATCCACAGCTCTTCTTGTTCCAACTGGAAAATGATATTTAGTTTGGTGAGTTGATACCCTGTGAATGGAAAATCACAGACAACCTGGCCCAAAACTGCCTAGGACCCAGGGATTCAGCAGAATGGGGAAGACTCTGTTTAGAGGCAGCGTGATGAAGCTGCCCTTTTGCACTTTGGCAAAGTAAACACCATTCAACCAGCAGATTCTGATGCCAAAGGGAGAATAAGAAAATCTGGCCTCTAAATATAAGCCGCAAATCACCAAGTATTGTACAAAAGTGCCCCAGCTTTCAGCACCGCAGAAGGGGAAGCCTGGAGATGACACACACTCCTTTCAGGGAGGTGGTACTTACCCAGGGACACCAGGTTGCTATAGTTCTCCAACATCACACTCCTGTACAGGTGCTTCTGAGCTGGGTCCAGCAGCTGCCACTCCTCCCAGGTAAAGTCCACAAACACATCCATGAATGACAATGGTCCCTGAAACAACAATATCCCCCATTCAATTGCAAATCATTTTACTTAGTTTGTAGTAAACAAAAGGCTGCTAAGGGTGTCCATTATTTACATTCTACTTTGGGAGAAAAGCAAACGTTTACTGAAAATACCCCATCAATATGCATTAAATCAGTTAACCTGTCTTTCAGCATATAAGAATACCATGTGCCAGGTATTCAACTAGGAGCAGGTAATATAAAATGGATGAAAGACAGAAGTGTTCAGCATCGCAGAGAACAGCAAAGATTAAACCCATAAAAATGTAACAGGCAGTCAAAGATGCTATGACAAAAGAACATGCAGAGAACATGGGCACAAAGGGGGAAGCAAGCAATGCTGCTTGAATGCACCAGGAGGTACCACTGAGGAGAAGACATTAACATTCGGTGAAATAAAAAAGGCAACAGCTCTAAGTAGCAGCGACTTTGTGGGGTGATGGATCTGACCATGAAGATACACAGGTGGTAAATCAGCATATGAAAAGATGCTCAACATCATGTATCATTAGTGAATTGCAAATTAAAATAGTGAGATACCATTACACATCTAGAATGGCTACAATTTTCAAAAATGGACACCAAACTTGAAAATGAAATTTCAAATTTATTTTTTTTTAATTTACTTATTTCTATTTTTAAAATTTGGAGTATAATTTCTTCACAATGTTGTGTTAGTTTCCGCTGTACAACAAAGTGAATCAACCATATGTATACATATACCCCCTCCCTCTTGGACCTCCCTCCAACTGCCACCCCCTTCCACCCAGCTAGGTCACCACAGAGCACTGAGCTGAGCTCCTGTTCTTTATAGCATGTCCCCACGAGCTATCTGTTTTACACACGGTAGTGTATTTATGTCAAACCTGATCTCCCAATTCATCCTACCCTCCCTTTTCTCCCATGTGCACACATCCATTCTCTATGTTTACATCTCTGTTCCTGCCCTGGGACTAGGTTCATGTGTACCATTTTTCTAGATTCCACATATCAATACATGCGTTAATATACGATATTTGTTTTTCTGTTTCTGACTTACTTCACTCTGTATGACAGACTCTAGGTCCATCCACATCTCTACAAATGACCCAATTTCGTTCTTTTTCATGGCTGAGTAATATTCCATTGTATATATGTGCCACATCTTCCTTATCCATTTATCTGTCGATGGACACTTAGGTTGCTTCCATGTCCTGGCTATTGTAACTAGTGCTGCAATGAACACTGTGGTATGTGTCTCTTTTTGAATTATGGTTTTCTCAGGGTATATGCCCAGTAGTGGGATTGCTGGGTCATATGGTAGTTCTATTTCTAGTTTTTTAAGGGACCTCCATACTGTTCTTCTCCATAGTGGCTGTATCAACTTACATTCCCACCAACAGTTCAAGAGGGTTCTCTTTTCTCCACACTCTCTCCAGCATTTATTGTTTGTAGATTTTTTGATGATGGCATTCTGACTTGTGTGAGGTGATACGCTATTGTAGTCCTGATTTGCATTTCTCTAATAATTAGTGATGTTAAGCATCTTTTCATGTGTCTCTTGGCCATGTGTATGTCTTTTTTGGAGAAATGTCTATTTAAGTCTCCTACCCATTTTTTGACTGCGTTGTTTGTTTTTTCGATATTGAGCTCATGAGCTGTTCGTATATTTTAGAGATTAATCCTTTGTACCTTGCTTCATTTGCAAATATTTTCTCTCATTCTGAGGTTTGTCTTTTCGTTTTGTTTATGGTTTCCTTTGGTGTGCAAAAACTTTTAAGTTTAATCAGGTCCCACTTGTTTACTTTTGTTTTTATTTTCTTTACTCTAGGAGGTGGGTCAAAAAAGATCTTGCTGTGATTGATGTCAAAGAGTGTTCTTCCTGTTTTACTCTAAGAGTTTTATAGCGTCTGGTCTTACATTTAGGTCTTTAATCCATTTTGAGTTTATTTTTGTGTATGGTGTTAGATAGTGTTCTAATTACATTCTTTTAGCTGTCCAGTTTTCCCAGCACCACTTATTGAAGAGACTCTCTTTTTCTCCACTGTATGTTCTTGCTTCCTTTGTCATAGATTAAGGTGACCACAGGTGTGTGGGTTTAGATGTGGGCTTTCTCTCCTGTTCCATTGATCTATATTTCTGTTTTTGTGTGAGTACCATACTGTCTTGTTGGCTGTAGCTTTGTAGTGTAGTCAGAAGTTGGGGAGCCTGATTCCCCCTACTCCATTTTTCTTTCTCAAGATTGCTTCAAGATATTACCTAGTGTTCTTTTATTTCACCTGCATGACTCCCTTGAACATCTCTTGCCAAGCAAGGTGTAGTGGTAGCAAACTCCCTTTTGTTTTCTGTGAATGTCTTCATTTCTACCTCACTTTTGAAGCACAGTTTTGTCAGATATAGGATTCTTGGCTGGTAGTTTGTTTTTTTTATTTTAGCTCTTTGAATATATGGGTTCATTGCCTTTTGGTCTCCAAAGGTTCTGATGAGAAATCTGCTTATCATCTTACTGAGGAGCCCTTGTATGAAACAAGTCATTTCTTTCTTGATGCTCTCAAGGTTCTCTCTTTGTCTCTGTCTATTGAAAATTTGAGTGTGTGTGTTTCTTTGAGTTCATCGTTTTTGGAGTCTGTTGAGCTTCTTTGATGTTTATATTCATGTCTTTCATCAAATTATCTATGTATAGTATCATGATATCTGTAAAGAGTGACAGTTTTACTTTTTCTTTTCCAATTTGTATTCTTTTTAGTGTATAGGAATGCAAGAGATTTCTGTGCATTTTTTATCCTGCAACTTTACCATTCTTCTCAAGTACACATGAGACATTTCCAGGGCAATCCACAAATTAAGTCTCAATAGATTCAAAAGACAAATATCATTCAAAATATCTTCTCTGACTACACAGGATGAAGCTAAAAATCACTATAAAAGGGGAAAAAATGGAAAATGCACAAATTTGTGGGAATTAAAACAACACAGTCCAAACAACCAATGGATCAAAGAAATCAAAAGGGAAATTAGTAAATACTTAGACTTGAATGGAAACAAAACATATCATAAAACTGATGGGATGCAGCAAAAGCAGTGTTGAGGGTAAAATTGACAATTATAAACACTTATATTTAAAACAAGAAACATCGGGCTTCCCTGGTGGCGCAGTGGTTGAGAGTCTGCCTGCTGATGCAGGGGACACGGGTTCATGCCCCGGTCCAGGAAGATCCCACATGCTGCGGAGCAGCTGGGCCTGTGAGCCATGACCGCTGAGCCTGCGCGTCCAGAGCCTGTGCTCCGCAACGGGAGAGGCCACAATAGTGAGAGGCCTACATACCACAAAACAAAACAAAACAAACACAAGAAACATCAACAATCTAACTTTACAACTTAAGGGAATAGAAAAAGAAGAACAAACTAAACACAAAGATAGCAAAAAGAAGGAAATAAAAAGATTAGAACACAGATAAACAAAATAGAGACTAGTAAAACAATAGAAAAAAAATCAATGAAACCAAAGCTTGGTTCTTTGAAAAGATCAACAAAATGGATAAAGCTTTAGGTAGATGGACTAAGAAAAAACAGAAGACTTGAATTACCAAACTCAGAAATGAAAGTGGGGAAATTAGTACTGATTCTACAGAGACAAAAATGATTATTGGAAAATACTATGAACAACTGTATGCCAACAAATTGGATGACCTAGTTGAAATGGATACAATTCCATCTTCATTTCTATCAAGATTAAATCACAAAGAAATAGAAAATTTGAAAAGATCTATAACTAATAAGGAGATTAAGTCTGTAATCAAAAGTCTCCCCAAAAAAGAAAAGCCCAGGCTTCACTGGTGAATTTTACCAAATATTTAAAGGAGTTATAACATCAATCTTTCTCAAGTTTTCCCAAAAACCTGAAGAGGAGGGAACACTTCCTAACTCATTCTATAAGGCCAGCATTACTCTGATACCAAACCAATACAAAAACACTATAAGAAAACTACAGACTAGTATCCCTTATAAACAGAGATACAAAAATTCTCAATAAACTAATAGGAAGTCAAATTCAGCAGCTTATTACAAAGATTATACACCATGACCAATGGGATTTATTCTTGGAATGCAAGGATGGTTCCACATTTGAAAACTGCTCAATGTAATGCATCACGTTAACAGAATGACGTTTAAAAATGAATATCTCAATTGATGCAGAAAAAGCATTTGATAAAATTCAACACCCTTTCATGATAAAAACACTCAACAAAGTAGGAATAGTAGGAAAGTATCTCAACATAAACCCACGGTGAACATCATTGTCAATGGTCAAAGACTGAAACTTTTCCTCTAAGATGAGGAACAAGGCAAGGATGTTGGCTTTCACCACTTCTATTCAACATAGCACTGGAAGTTCTAGCCAGAGCAGTAGGAGTAAATTTATCTCTATTCACGGCCAATATGATCCTATATGTAGAAAACCTTAAAGATTCAAAAAACAAAGCAATCCAACAAAAACAGATGAGTTCAGCAAATAGCAGGATACAAAGTCAAAGCATGAAAATCATCTGCCTGCCTTCCTTCCCTCCCTCCCTCCTTCCCTCCCTCCCTTCCTTTCTGGCTGCATTGGGTCTTTGGTGCTGCACGTAGGCTTTCTCTAGTTGCGGCGAGTGGGGGCTACTCTTCGTTGTGGTGCACGGGCTTCTCATTGCAGTGGCTTCTCTTGTTGCAGAGCTCGGCCTTTAGGTGTGTGGACTTCAGTAGTTGTGGCACACGGGCTCAGTAGTGGTGGCGCGTGGGCTCTAGAGCCCAGGCTCAGTAGTTGTGGCACACGGGATTAGTTGCTCTGCGGCATGTGGGATCTTCCCAGACCATGGATAGAACCTGTGTCCCCTGCATTGGCAGGTGGATTCTTAGCCACTGAGCAACCAGGGAAGTCCCCAGTTGCATTTCTATACAGTAACAATGATCAATCTGAAAAGCAAATTATGAAAAAGATTCCACTTATAATAGCATCAAAAAGAAGTA